GGGAGCTGGGCCATCAGGTTTGGGGATTGGGAAGGCAATTCAGAGGACTTTTTTGTGAAGTCAGAAGGAGCCTGCCTACTTTTCTGGGCACTTGAAAATAATAAAAATAGAAATTCTAAGGTCCTTTAGTAAGATAACTGAATGGACAGTACAATCAGTGAGTGGGGTGTTAACTGTGGACATATTCCAGGAGATCTGGCAGAAGTGATGTTAAGAAATTTGGCTTTGCGACACTAGTGGGTGAAACTAGAGAAAATGGGATGGGAAAAGTGTGTGGAAAGATTAAGCTCAAGTAAAGGTAGAGAGGGAACATAACTAGCACAAACTAGTTGAGCTGAATGACTAAATCAATGAACCTGAATTCAAATAGTTTCCCTACTGTATCTGAATAATTCCTTCGCCTGCCAGTTGTTCTTGGGGCATGGAAATCCATAATGCACTATAGCCCAACTGGTGAATCCAAGACTAATTATAACATTAATGATACTAATTAATCATTTTACCAGTAACCTGCCAGTCTCAACTGAGCCTAGCCTTGACTCATTATCATCACCCTTTCCTCCAGCTCTTCTGGAACATTGCCTTGACTGGCGGAGAACTGATCCTGTCATCCGTGGGCCGTTTTTGATGTTTCCATCAAGTCATATCCACTGACTCCACTACAAATGTGAAAACTTGGGCTTTTCAGTGGGCAGGGGAGTAGTTCCTGATATGCTGAAGGTCAGGTGGTACCCGAACACGAGTAGGAATTGGTCATCTGGGTGGTCAGGTGGTACCTGAGAGCTGGTTAGCTGGTGGCTGGGCACGGCTACTGTTGCTAGAGCTGACCCTGCTCCTGAGATGGTTTGTTGGGCTTCTGGCAAATTAAGGCCAATTCTGGGGGATCCCTAGCCATTCTGGGAAGCTTGGCAAACGTAACTATAATTGATACTGCAATACAGACTGGTGAAAACTCTGCTGAAATGGTCAAAATCGTGAAACTAGGTGAATGAATAGTTAAATAAGTGTATGGTTTGGCTCAGATTTTATGGCAATGCATGAAGCAATGATTTTCCAATTTACAGTTTCCACCTGACGTAGTTAGAAGTGGTTGAGCCAGTCCTGTTATCAGTTGTTGTCTTTCCTAACCTAGATCAAGAATGGGATTGCAGCGTATGGAATAATGCTGCATTGTGAGTCAGTTACATTGTGAATCAGTCGGAATTTTGCATGCTGAAGTAAATACACAGATAAGTCACCTTTGAAAATGGTAATTAGAAATGAAGGAACATTTCGACCATTGTGTGTTATTGCAAATTGCCAGCTTTATGAATTTTGCAAACAAGTCACCATTTCCTCCAGCCTACAGAAGAATTTACAAATTCTTTAATGCTCATTGCTTTAACATGATAAATGAAGGTACTTAATGTTTCCTCTTGTGCCATAACAGTGGGTAGCTTCCAGTCTCCCACAACATAATCATGAGACATTTTAAAACAGTTACAAGACTATAACAACTGCTGCTTATTTATCTCTGACTTGCGATTCATACTGATTATTTTGATAAATTGTTAAAATTGCACAATTGTTATTTTATGATCAGATTAGTGGGTTAGAAGAAGCTTATTTCATTTTGGGAATTTTTAAATCCTTGTTAAATCCCATTGAAATAAAGTGCTACCAATGATTTGGTTTATTGTTGTTTTGGTTGAAGGTATGAGTTTTGCTTTCTGATATTTGTCAATTTTACAAAGAAAGATTGTAGAATTATACAGTACAGAAGAGGCCATCTGGCCCAATGTGTCTGCACTGGAAAAAATCTGCTGTAAATCTACACTAGTCCAACCTTCCAGCACTTGGTCTTTAGCCTTGAGTGTTACGACATTTCAAGTGTTCACCCAAGTACTTTTTAAAAGTTGTGAGGTTTCCCGTCTTAACTATTCTCCCAGGTAGTGCATTCCAGATTCCCACCACCCTCTGGTGAAAATCTTTCCTCAAATTCCCTTGAAACATCCTGCCTTTCACCATTAAAATTATGCTTCTTGTTATTGACCCTTCAACAAAGATAAACAGCTACTTTCTTTCCACCTTGTCCATGCCCCTCATAATCTTATGTACCAAAATCAGGTCCCCTCTCAGTCTGTCTGCTCAGAGCAACCTTAGCTTATCCAATCCCATTTGTACCATAGTGTGGAGACCAGGACTGCACACAATACTCCAGCTGTAGCCTAACCAAAGTCCTATATAGCACCAACATAACCTCCCTGCTTTTATAACTTATGCCACAACTGACAAAGGCAAGTGCCTTGTATACCTTCTGAACTATCGAATTAACCTGACTTTCCGCCTTCACGGATATGTGGACAAGCACCCAAAGATTTCTCTGTTCCTCTGAGATTCTTCGTGTCATGGGTACTCCCTTGTCTTGTTACTTCTTCCAAAGTGCACCATCTTGCATTTATCAGGATTAAATTTCATGTGCCACTGATCTGTCCATCTGACCAATCCATTTATATATTCCTGTAACCTAACTCCTTCCTCCTCTCTGTTACCCATCCTGCCTATCTTTGTTATAACAAGGTGTGGAGCTGGATGAACACAGCAGGCCAGGCAGCATCAGAGGAGCAGAAAAGCTGACGTTTCAGGTCTGGACCCTTCTTCAGAAATGGGGGAAGGGAAGGGGGCTCTGAAATAAATGGAGAGAGGGGGAGGCGGTGATAGAAGGTGGATAGTGGAGCAGATAGGTAGAGAGAAGACGGACAGGTCAAGGAGGCGGGGATGAAACTAGTAAAGGTGAGTGTAGGTAGGGAGTTGGGATGGGGGTTGGTCATTGAGGAGGGAGGAGCGGATAGGTGGGAGAGAAGAAGGACAGGTCATGGAGGTGGGGACGAGGGGGGGTTGCTGGTCTTGGGATGAGGTCGGGGGTGGGGAGATTTTGAAGCTCGTAGAGTCCGCACTGACACCATTGGGTTGTACGGTTCCAAGGCGGAACATGAGGTGCTGTTCCTCCAGTTTTTGGGTGGCATTGTTGAGACACTGGAGGAGGCCCAGGATGGACATGTCGTCCAGGGAGTGGGAGGGGGAGTTGAAGTGGTTCATGACTGGGAGGTGTTGTCGTTTGTCTTGAACCAAGCATAGGTGCTCTACAAAGCGGTCTCCCAGCCTCCGCTTGGTCTCCCGATGTAGAGGAGGCCAATCTTTGTGTCGTCCACAAACGTACTTACCATCACCAATCCCCAACGCCTACCATTGCATTTTTGTCTATATCATTTATAAATTCACAAACAATAAGAGACCCAGAACTGATCCCTGTGATACACCAGTGGATACTGCTCCAGTCACACACAAACACCTACCACCACCCTTGGTCTCCTACCAGTAAGTCAATTTTGGATCCAACTTGCCAAGTTACCCTGGATCCCATGTGCTTTTACTTTTTCATCAATCTCACGTGTGAGACCTTGCCAAAGGCTGTGCTGAAATCCATGTAAACTAAATCAATTGACATACCCTCATCACTTCCTTGAAATATTCAAACAAATTTATTAGGCATGACCTCTCTCTGACAAAGCCATGCTCACTATCCCTGATCAAACCTTGCTTTTCCAAGTGGAGATTTAATTCTCTCCTTCAGAATTTTCTCCAATGATTTCCCACCCTGGCCTGTAATTCCCTGGTTTACTTCTACAACCCCTCTTGAAGAGTGCAACCACTTTAGCTGAGTTCCAGTCCTCTACCTCCCCTTGGCCAGCGAAGACTTAAAAATTTGGCTCAAAGCCTCTGTAACTTCCTCCCTCATCTCCCACGAGAGCCTGGGATACAACTCATCCAGACCAGAGGATTTATCCATTTAAAAACCCATCAAAGCCTCCAAAACCTTCTCACTCCCTATATTAAGCTGCTCAAGGCACTCACAGTCACTCTTACTGAATTTTGTACCTACATCCTCCTTTTCCACGGTGAAGACAGGTGTGAAGTACTTATTTAACACCCTACCAATGGCATCCAGCCTCCAAGCAGAGATTGCCCTATGGTCCCTGTTGGGCCCTACTCTATCCCTGCCCTTCCTCTTGATACACTTGTATAGTATATTGGGATTGTCCCAAAACTTACCTGCTGCTGTTTTTCATAGCCACTCTATGCTCTCCTAATTGCTTTCTTAAGTTACCCCCTAGACATTCTATACTAGGGTCTCTGTTGAATTGCTCCCGTTGTACCTATTAAAAGCCTCTCTTTTCCTTCTTCTCCAGTCCTGAATGTTCCTAGAAACCCAGAGTTCTCTGGGCTAGTTGCTCCTACATTTCGCCCGAAAGAGAACATGTTGCACCTGCACTCTCGCCAATTCCATTTTGAATATCCTCTCAATGTTCTGCTGTAGATTTTACCCAGAAGTAGCTGTTCCCAGCCTACTTTGGCCAGACCCTGTCTTGTTTTAATAAAATCCGCCTTCCCCCATCCTAAATTTTTTTCAAACATCAGTAGCCAGATCTTCAGGTATGTGCCTTTTAAATGCTGAGCCTGGTGACTGACAAATTCTTTTAAAAGGATGTTTACTCTTTGAATGCAGCTGTCTAAAGGCATCTGTGATGTTTTGTGAAGATACTCCCCCTCAAGGGAAATCAAATCATTTGATTCAAGTCACTACCTTTTATGTAAGGATCTTTTGGCATAGAAAGGTAATGTATGCAGAGCATTCTTTAAGAAATCTATTAGATTTCCTCCTACAGCAGTAAGTTTTAGAAACTTAGACATATTTTACTAAATCAACACAAATTGATCCTTGAATATTAACAGTGTAACTGATGTTTCTACATGTTGAAAAATTACTTCTTATGACTAGTCTTAAAAGGATGAATGTATGCCTTCGAACCTCAACAGTCAATAACAATTAGCTAACTCACCTTTTGCATTTAAGTCACCAGTTGTGTCTGAGCTTGCCCAATAAATATTCTAATGACAGAGTAGAATTTGACTGGCTTCCTTCATAGAACTATAATGTCTCACTTTTCTCTGCTGTCCAGTTGCAGTGAGTGTTATGACACATCCAGAGCTGTCCTGCCTCTTGCAAGTGCGTGATGAAGAGGATTTGCGTGTTACTGTAGTGCACTACAGCCCAATGCTCTGACTTGTAATTTGAAAGAACCCTGGGGTGCCTGGGAAAAACCTCTTACAGCCGACTTGGCGTGATGAGCAAGTTCACCTTTCAGAACAACAAAGTGATGCAGGACCGCCGGAGTGTTTGTGTCTTCCTTCCAAATGATGAAGCTCTCAACATTATTGTGAATGTAAGTTTTTCCCATTTGTCTTTCTGTTGATTTTATTTCCTTTAATGATTAATTGCAGTTGTAATGGTTTCTACCACATTAAAAATGTAAAAATTATATCCATGTAGTATAGTTCTCCTTTGGACATCCCAGTTATTGCCAATTCTAATTTAGCCCATTATGTCTTGAAATATCATCAAAATGAAAATAATGAAATAAAATAAAAATTGTGACCTAATGCATGGTTACATTTTATTATTAAATCTGAAATTAAAACTGCAGAAAATCACTAAAGATATTACAATATCCGATATAGATGTAATGGGACAGAGCTAAGGGTAGTTGACATAGTGAATTATAAATCTCAACTTTTTGTTTTGTTATGAAAAAGCAATAAGGTGGTGTGACTGTCTTTTTAACTTGTTTTGAAGAGAAGATATATTAAAACCCGCTTAAATGTGTTTTTTTTTAATATTCATCCATCATTGCCAAGCAAGCATTGTTTGTGGGCAACCATTTTTCTGTTTATCTTCTGATCTGATTCTTGGTTAAACTATGGCAAAGAACAGGAATGCCAGTGAAGAAACTAGATCTTCAAATTATTTCCCTTTCTACCTCTCACCGAATCACCAGATGTGTTACGGTGCAGATGAAGGCCATTCAGTCCATTGTGTCTTTTACCGGGTCTTCAGATGAGCATCATGACTTAGCGCCGTTCTTCTCATTTTTCCCCTGTCCTTTTAAATGCTTCAATTGAACCTGCCTTTATTACCATTCTGAGGCAGTACATTCCAGATCTGAATCACTTGCATGAATTTTGTTTTTCCCTCTCTTGTCACACTTTTGCAAATTACTTTAAATTTTTGCTTCTTTGTTTTTGATTCTTTTATGAGCAGGAACAATTTATTCTGATCTATTCTATCCTGCTCCCTCATGATTTTGGAAACTTCGACCAGATCTCCTCTGGGCTCTCCATCTGCATTTTTATCCTCGTACCTAAAGTTTCTTATTCCTGGAACTGTTTTTGTAAACCTCCTTCTGCACTATCTAATAAGTTCACATCCTTATGCCAGAGTGGTGCTCAGAGCTTTACACCATACTCCAACTCTCGGAAGCAGTCGCTTTCTATTTGATGTATCCATAGCTGAAGTCAAAAGCTTACTGTGTGAAGACTTCAAGGTGCAAGTCCTAATACACTGTAGCAAAACATATTGGATGACATATTGAGATAACGTGCCAAAAAAGCAATTTCGATCTTAATTAAATATGCTTGATTGTTGTGTCTGAGCTATCCAAACAGTTTGCTGTTGTTGTTCAAAGCTTTTCAACAGCTTTTTTCATTGTCAATTTTCAAACTACCTAATAATGAGTTATTGGTTTAGTTTCAATAGATTAGACTGTGTTTTGAAGCAGATGAAGTTACAGGGTTATGGCAAGAGACCAGAGGAGTGGGATCAGTTATAGATTGCTCTAACAAAAAAGCCAGAAGCAACACAAAGGGTTGATTGGCCTCCTATGTAGTAAACAACTGTAGTACTAAAGATGTAGCCAGAACGCTGAAAGGATGTTTGCAAAGAAAGACTTTTATTTCAGAAATAAGTAATCTCACACGAATTGGAATGTTACTGCCACCTTATTACAACATTCAACTGAACCACTATTCTCATTATTCCTTCTCCTCTTCATTTCGTAGAATACTTACTGAAAGAAATTTGACTAAAAATGCACGTGTGAAATATTTCAGATCCCAGACAAGAACAACATTAGGACTTTACTCGTTATCACTTTCCTTACTCTTATATGATGGGGCTAAGAAGCTAATCAGAGGGCTCACAGGAAAGGGAATATCTCTGAAATGGAGACAGACGGTCATTTTAGGTTCCTTAGCATCCATATTTCTTTTGCTTTCTCTGATGGATGCGAGCAATCAGGAGCTAGCCTCATCTATGCACAGCACTGTGTCTGTGCACAGTTTTCTTTGTTTTGCAAATGAGATACAATTCACTTGAGAACATGAGTCCATTTAGCTGTGAAATTTCCCTCAGTTTTTAAAGTAATGATCCAAAACTCTCAGTACGGTACCTTTCCTTCCATATGCTGCATCTGTCTGTTACTTCAATATATAGGGAAGAAACTGCCAGCTTGTCTTGTTTGTATGAGCCTTCCTTACCATTTCAATTAATTATCTTTGACCCAAACATGAAAGGGAGGATAATTCATACCATGAACAAAGATGCAAAAATAAGTCTATTTGTGACTACTAGCACATTTCATTTTTTTTGCGTACATCCCTCCCCCACCATTGGAAGCATCCTTGTGCTTAACCCAAGCAGACATATTGTTGAAGAATAAAGACATGCCTAACTGGTCTTAATATTTTGGCAAATACTGCAAGCAGCTATAGATTTTAGTTGTTTCTCTGATCCCACATATTTTGTTCATAAACATGCCTTAAACTTAAATATGCCAATATTTAGAATAGATTAAATGCATCTTTTCTACAGTCTAAATTATCTAAGATATCAGTGGAAAAAAGCTCTACCTATGAACTAAATTACTATGAAACTTGGCATAATTTCCACATTGTATTCTCCTTGGAGCAGGGAATATTATTGCAGCTGTGAGAGTGGGCTCACAATTGCAGCATGTAGTCAGTACCTTGAAAAAATTTTATTTTAATATTTTTATATTTAATATATTGGGTAAGGTATTGCTTGCTTGGTTTCCGAGTTTCAATTTCTGATAAGGCAGAGAATCTCAATGTCTGCTTTGACAGAATACTTCTAAGATATCATAATATTTCCTTTTTGTAGGTTAAAGCCTTGTGCCAAGAATTATTCGTTCAAGTCTGCGACCTTCTAAGGCTGAAAGACTGTCATCTCTTTGGACTCAGTGTCATACAAAGTAAGTGAGACTGAAAACTGACTATAACTCCACAACAATGAGGTAAACTGTATTATCTGCAATGTATCCAGTTCTTTGGAATCCTGTCGACTGCTGAGAGTTTTATTTACAAACACAATTTTTGATCTTTTCATTTTGATGTCTTCATTTTAAATGGAATTATTCATAATATGTTACTGTCCCTTTAACTTTTCTCTCATGTAGTTTAGGCATCGCAATTTATTTCTTTAATTGCCGACATGGCTGGATGTAAGTGAAGTAAATCAACCGGAAAAGTAAACCTTCAAAACAAAAAGAATTTTTTAAAAATCAGTAGTTTCCTTTCCTTGAAATGGGTCTTTGATTTACTAGAGTTTTGTTTAAGGTATTGACAATCTGTGGGTGTGCGCTTGTATCTTCAACCTCTCTATCTGTTCTTTAGTTTTTATTATAACAAATCAGGATAACTTACTGCTTTGTCTAAAATATTTTAAATCAGGATTGAAGTTATTGAGTGTTTTTAAATTCCTGGTTTGCGGTCTTTGAGAATACTTCCATGCGATTGGCTGTTGACACTGCTTGCTGATAGCACTGTTGTTGCATACCTGGAGATCCCCATGACCTGGACACTGATTCAAACTTTTGCTAGGAAAGTAAGCCACACCACACAGTTCACCAGGGCAGCTTTCTTTGGGAGTATTAGCAAACATTACTATTTTTGACCACAAAATCCTACCAAAACCCACAGGGTTCACCACTTGTACGTTATATATCACTTCAGGAGCAAAACCGTACACACATTGTTGGTTTATTACAGTTAATAGGAAGTTTTCTGTAATAATTTTGATTTTTATAAAATCCTGTGCATAGATCATAGTCATTGTGGCTTGAGCACTAACCTTGGGCAGTGAAAAGAGGAAAATTGGATGAGCAAAGTCATATGTTTTTACGTCAACCAATGATTTTCTACCAATTAACTTAAATAGAAGATGATCAGGTGGACTCATAGTCAGGGATCTGGGGTTTCCCACCTCTTTTAACTCTTTACACACCAAGCAGGGCAGATAGACATTTATGAAATAATGTTTCAAACTACTGCAGGCAGATGTGAAACAAAAGATAAATAAAACATAATAAATGAATCAAACTTTGATATAGTGCATGTGATCTGATCAATGGGAAAATCAGGTTTGTGAATATCCAGGCATCTTTAACAATGTCCCATCAACTATGAGCATTTACATATTGAAATGAACCATTTTCAACGCAGAATTAAAGCCACCATCTGTTTATTTGATTGTAGAGGAAGCTAAACAATTTAAAACTCATGAAAGCTGTGAATTTGCGACTTTCTGAACTTACCAAGTTCACGAACTACCCAATTTTTTTTCCACTTTTGGTCCAAGGTAGAATATGGAAGAATGATTTGCGTTAATGAACAAATGAAAAAGTACAGCACAGGAACAGCCCCTTTGGCCCTCCAAGGCTGTGCTGACCATCATGCCCTAATTAATCTAAAAACAAACCTGCCATTTTTCAATCCATATCCCTCTATTCCCTCCCTATTCATGGACCCATCTAAGTGCCTCTTAAATGTCTTCAATGTGCCCACTTCCACCACTTCTTCTGGTAGTGCATTCCAGGCTGCTTTCACTCTCTGCATGAAAAACTTCCCTCGCACGTCTTATATAGTACTGCGACCCAATATCGCAACATTTTGCCATACAATGCATTATGTATACTGAAAAATGACAGTAACTGTTGGCTAAGAAAATAAAATTAGTTTAAGCAAATAATAAGCTAAGTACAAGTGAAACCAACAATGACATTTGAGGAAAAAAAGAAAACGATTGGCTACAAAATGTATTATTATTTACAAGAAAACTTAGATAGTGCCTTTAACATAATAAAGTATTTGTAATCATTCACGCATGTATTATAAAACAAAATTTGGCACTGAACTACAAAAGATATTAGGGCAAAGAAGTGGGTTTTAAAGAGCACCTGAAAGGAGGAGGGGGCGCAGTGGAGAAAGCCAGAGGTATTTTGGGAGAGAATTCCAGAAGTTGGGATCTTGAATGTGCAAAATTATAGGACTGCAGTTATCATGGGGGGATGCAGGAAAGGGGGAGCAAGAAAGATTTGAGCATGAGGATGAATAATTTAAAATTAATTTGTTAAGCTAACTCAGAGCCAGTTTAGATCACTGAGCATAGAGGGATGTGTGAATGGAATTTGGTGCAAGTTAAGTCAAGACAATGCATTTTTAAGTTGGCCTTAACTTAAAGCATGGGAGAATGGCCAGGAGTATACTGGAATAGTTGAGTAAAGAGATAGCAAGGACATGGATTATAATTTCAGCAATAGATGAGCTGAATGGAGCAATGTTAAAGGAGATCTAAATTGATTGTTTTGGTGATGATGCAGATGTGTGATCAAAAGCTCACCCTTAGGTCAAACATTGTACCAAGGTTGCTGAGTCTCTTCCAGTTACTAGACAGAGTGACAATCAAGTGTGGAAAGACAACATTTATTTTAGAAACTGAATGATGAAAATTCTTTTTCATGTGTTTGTTGAGATATAGTGAAGCCATGGGCAGCTGAGCAGAATATGAAAGCTTTCAGATCACTTTTTTCAAATCCCTCTTGTCCACTATGAAAGATGTCTTGAGGTACTTCAACCATCAAAAGGATGAAAAATTGGAGGGTAGACAGACAAATATGGCTTTAAGCCAGATGCAAACACCAAAATCTGGGGCACATCTCTCAATACTCTCTTCAACCTGCCAGCCCTTCTCCATCAGCTAGTTTTTTTTATCAAAGGTTTGCCTAAAATACTCATACCTTTTGAGGTTAATTATTATCTCTTTGTTTGGGCTCTTATCAAGAGATATTTATTTTGTCAAAGTTTCCAAGTAGCAAGATGTCTACACTCCAGTTGGATGCCACTTTCTCAAAGAAATAGGCTAGATTGCTGAATCAGAATTTCTTTCTTTCTGAATCTATGTTAACTGTAGTTGAATAGCTTATTATTGTACAGATGATCTTCATACTCAATCTTGAGGATTAATTCGATTGCATGCAATAGAAGCAAGTCAAAAGGATATGAAGTGATCTGTGTTGGTTTTGTCACTCTGTTAATTTATGGTCACCAGATAAGGCTATTGGTGCCTCCTTGCTATCTATTGAACCCCCTCTCCTTGATTATCAGTGCTTCACAAATCTCCTTCCTAATCTCTATCAGCACACTAGGATAGATATCATCTATCCCTGGGAATGTATTTGTTTTTGTTAATTTAGCTAGTCTAGAGCTTTTACCTCGTGGTGAAGTCATTGGTATTATCTGTGATAACTTCTTCAGTGACCATGTCTCACATACCTTCCCATGTGAATACATACAGAAAGAGTTGTACAAAACATTTACTACTTTTTCCTTATATTTATATTCAAGCCCATTTAGCATTTGTTTGCCATCTCTTCTCTGTCTGCCCTCTTGCTGTTTGTGCCTTTGAAAGCAAGTTTTATTATCTTAACCTCAGCTGCTATGCCTTTTTCTTGTTCTCTCTTTAGTTCTCAGTTATTTTAATTTTTTAAAACTCTTTCACTTCCTCCTTCCATGACTTTGACAAATCCATCTTTCTGTGTCTTACACTTGTAATTTCTTTTTATTTTTCAAATGTCTGCTTTCAAGTTTGTTGGATTTAAAAATGTATTTTTATTTGTTCACATGTTCATCTTATTTCTCTTTAAACGTGTTTCCTTTTGCCTTTCTGTTGAATTGTTGTGAATAACCTTCCCTAAATTATTTGTGAAAGGTTTCCCTTCTTTTGGTAAATTAGCCCTTTTTAAATTCATTTACCAGGTTCCTGGTCTTGGGTATTTTTGACTCTTGGGTTATGTTAAAGTTATTATTGTTGGTCACTGTTTCCATAGGATGCCAAAGCCTCTGTTTCTAATACATTTGATGATCATTTTAAAAAAACGGATCAAGATGAGCATTATTGTTTGTGCCGTCTTCAACACTCCGGCTCAAGAAGCAGTCATTAACTGAGTCTAATAACTCTGGTTCTAAGGATGTGGATTATCCTGTTTATATTACATTGATTAGGCTTCCATTGAATTAACAACATTCCCATTTTTACATAAAGTTTTTCAGTAGGGAATTGGGAAGGTTAACTTTACCTGTTTGGCTGTAAAAACAATACTTCCAGATTACTTACAAGCTGGAATGAGGTCAAATTTCAACTGAATGGTTGCTCACACATGTCAATCAACATTTGATCACATTCTCAAAGCCTGACTGGGCTTTTAACTTGGGTCTGAATAAGGAACCTTTTTTAATTAGTGTGGGAAGGATCAGAAAGCTGAAGATAAATTTATTTTCCTTCTTGGAGTCAGGTGATGTAGGAGTTCTCCACAAGGCAAGTTTCCGCTGCTTCTGTTCTACGCTCTTTCCCTGCGCCACCACCCACCACAAGAGCACCCCCTATAAAGTCTTATCCCCTTCCAATTAATGGGGTGTTGGCTGACAATCCTCTGACCAATTCTCATAGCTGATATTCAATCCCCACTTCTTCACAAAAGGCAGTCAGAAAATTACCTGGAACTTCCTATTTCCTGTCAGAAACTTTTTACATTTGTTAATAAACTTGGTAAATATTGAAACCATTGGTTTCAGTCTCAGCTCCAAACCACATTCACAACCTTTTGACTCTGCCTTTTCTCCTTGCAACTGCCTGAGGTCAAGCCAGCTTGTTCCCAACCTTGGGACTGGATTTTCCTGGAGACTGGTCATCTCCTTAGACCTTTGAAAGGCGGACAGGACCTGGATGCAGATGTCCTTGTCCCAACTTTCAACAGATCCCATTTTTTCAGGCAATGGGAAGGTCACAGGTTATGAATCACACAGGCAAGAAACCTGGACTCAATAGAGTCATTTGAAAATAGCGCTGTGTTGCCAATTTCTCTAATAAATGTGTCCTGTATATAGGAGTCTTGAATTTTATGGAGTAGGCATAAAT